GTGGGAGGGGGGGGGGTGGAACCTGCTTACAGTCCTGTGAAGTTCTCTTCTCTCCTGTCTTGATCCTGAGGGGCGGAGCAGGGCACTGTTTTTTTTTTTTTAATTATAATTTAACTAATATGTTTTTCTCGCCCCCGTCTAACCATTAGATAATACCGTTATGTAACTTTCCACACAGCGCTGCCCCGGGGTACTAACTGTTACTGTTACTGGGTGTAATATATTTTACCACAGGGGGGTGGATGGGGGGGGGGGCAGAAGAAAAGGCTCAGCTGCTCCCAGTGGAGAGTATTTTTATCCTTGATTCTATTTCAATTATTTAACCAGAATATTCCTTCATATCTGTTAGATTACATTATCCTTGAAGATGTTTGGTGGTAGGTTTGGTGTCAGTCCTCGCCGCCTGTCGCTCCCTGCACCTCAGTCACACAGTTTGGAGAAACGACCCAGAGACACGCGCGTCTCTGCAGCCGCTCCGTGTCGGCAGAACTGACTCTTACCTTTGGCCTACTTCACTTCACTTCACTTCACTTCACTTCACTTCACTTCACTTCACTTCAGTCGTCAAACATCAGATAAAGTCCAGCCAACGTTCCCCCCAGCAAGGATGGAGTTGTTGTCCTCTCACCCCCCCCCCCCCCCCCCCCCGTGATAATTAAAAGCAGAGGCTCAGTTTCGTTGTATCCTCATGACAATACAGACCATAGAAAATAAATAAATAAAGTGAGTTTTCCTCGTGGGTCGGTACAGTACCTGTCCAGGACGTCTGCGCTTCGCTGTCACTTCTCCTTAATCCCAGGGTGGAATTTCATTTGCCTGTGGTGAAAAGTACGAGCACGGGTCCTCCAGCGTCTCTGAGACAAGTGTTCCTTCCAGTCCTGACCGCGAGTGAGTCCATGAGTGGATCAGTGTTTGTGTCACAATAAGAGGGAGAGGAAAAGCAGTGAGTCAGACAAGAGGGGGTGGGGTAAATGTGGCCATGAAAGAACAACCCAAGGCGGGGTCTTAACCAACTGCCACAGGGCTCAC